ATGGAAGGCTAAATCGCTATCGTTTGGTGGAAGGCTCACATTAATCAAATCAGTTATGGGTAACCTGCCTACCTAATTTTTATCCTTATTCCAAGCTCCTGTGGGTGTAATTGAAGAAATGGAGAAGATAAGACGTACCTTCCTATGGGGTGGTTGTGATGATAAAAAGAAAATTCACTGGGTTTCCTGGGACAAGGTCCTTGCAGCCAAAGAAGATGGGGGACTTGGAGTGGGATCCATACAGGCTTTAAACATTGGATTGCTCGTGAAATGGTGGTGGAGGCTGAACAATGAAACACATTCTTTGTGGGCTAGGGTAATATCCGGTATACATAATTTGGCGAATAAACCGATCGATTATTTATCCTCACAAAGGTACGGTGGAGTATGGAATAATATCGCCAGCTTCAAAAAATCTCTATGTGAGCTTGGAATTGAGATCCACGATCTTTTTAATATTAAGATCATGTCAGGGAACAATACTTTGTTTTGGTATGACCATTGGCTTGGTCCCAGCAGCCTCAAATCAAATCAAAATACCCCAACTTATTTGAATTGGAATCAAAGAAAAGGTGCACTGTATCAGATAGGATTGGCGGATTGAATCAAAACTGGATGTGGAAAGCTAGGCATGCTGTTCGGGGGCTTGATTCTGAAGTTAAAGTCCTAATTAAAGATGTCTGTAATGTTCAATTAAACTCGGGAATAGACCAGTGGAGATGTAAACTTTCGGCGAATGGTAGGTTCTCGGTGGGCATTATTCAACAGCTTGTAGACAAGCTGAAAACCATTAACCCAGTTGCCCCTTTGATTATATGGAGTAAAGTCGTACCGATTAAGGTGATTTCTTTTGTGTGGAGAGCTGTACAACAACGTATACCAACTGCTACTGCATTGGAAAGGAGGGGTATTCCGGTCAACTCAACATTATGCAGCTTATGTATTGGAAGTTCTGAATGTGCCGACCATGTGTTGATCAATTGTCCGCTTGCTAACATGATCAGGAGCTGCATTTGGAGATGGTGTGGTATTACAAGTGAACACGAGTCTATAAAAACCATCAGTGATCTTATACACTTTGCTAGCGCATGGGGAAGGAATAAAAAGAAACGGAAACGACTTGTTGTGATCTGCTATGGCATGCTGTGGAACTTATGTCGTTTTAGAAACAAAAGATTATAGGGTATTTCAGTCCATAATGTCACGGAATGTATTAAGGCCATGACCTTCTATTGGGTTAAACATAGGGGAAATAAAGGTATATATAGCTGGAAGGAATGGTTATCATCTCCATTTCATGGCTTGTAATTTTGCATTTACTTGTATGTTTTTCTTATTCTGGTCCCTCTTCTAGTTCCTTGCTAGGGGAGGGTTCCTTTCTATAATAAAATTTGTCGTTTCCAAAAAAAAAAATTAAGCAAAAACGAGTTTGGGATATAGACCGGAAAAGTCTACGGAGCATATTGTAAAATCTATATATATATATATATATATATATATATATATATATATATATATATATATATATATATATATATATATATATTTGATTTTTATGCACAACATCAGAGGCAGAACTACTAGTTAGCTGGCAACGTGTTATAACTAAAAATTTCCCGAAAAGAAGATAGGAGACAACATATCAATTGTATGTATGTCAAGGTGCTACTCCTTAAATAAATTTGTGCAACTCAAGAGCTCATGGAAAACCCTAAATCATCATGAGTTTCTTATTAGATCGGATTATAGAAGATCGAACAAGGTAGTCTTTTGGTCTCTAAAATCTATAAATTAGTTTGGACAAGTCTTTTGGTTTTTGTATTCTTGATCAGACAACTGATTTTGGATGTTGTATATCACCTGTTTTATAAAAAGCTTGAACCAAAATATATTATCTAATAGAATCAGTAACTATTTTTTCTTTGTACTATATTAGATTTTGTTATTGTATATTATAATAAACGAAAAAAATGAAATTACTCTGCGGTTTCCTATATTCAATCCCAACTAGCCTGGTTGGGATTGAATATAGCAAATCGCAGAGTAATTTCATGTATGTAATCGCACCAACGTGATCTTATGTAATGTGGTATACAATCCTTTCATCACTCTTATTAGCAACCATATGCTAAAGAATTTCATGATTTTATATAAGTTATTCTAAATTAGCAACCACATGCTAAAGAATATTATCAAATACTTCGTTAATATATATATATATATATATATATATATATATATATATATATATATATATATATATATATATATATATATATATATATATGATGTGTGTGTGGTATATGTTTGTATGTTCTGATGTGTGTGGTTTGTGTGTATTTTCGTTATGACTAAGAAATAGAGACATGAATGGGATCAAAAATATGGGTCACTTTTGACATGATCACAACATATGTTTATGTTTGTTATGTGTGTATGTATTAATGTAGATGATGCTCCATTTATTTGTAATATACACACGGTCTCTTTATTTGTAACGTACACACAATAGAAGTTGACTTTTAGCTGGTTTTAGTACCCAAAATCGGTATGGTATGTTGTCGAAATCTAAAAAAAAAAAAAACATATTATATGCTGCATAATTTACAAAAAAAAAAACTATGTTAATTGTTCTTCTTTGTATTTATCTTCTAATAATTGGCTTATGGGTACAAGTCATCGTTTTTTAGCTTTGTGTAGAGATTACAGTGTTTTGATGAATATAAATTGTTTATTTCATTGTTGTGTTTTTTTATTAACCTCCTAGATCATAGAGACCATAACAATTTAATGATCACAGTTTTATCGTAGAGATTACAACAATTTAATGATCATAGTTTGCAATTTGTGTTAGGTAAACTTATGTTATGTGAAAGTAAGTGAACCTTTTTTAAGTGTATATTGAAAATCAACAACATAACATAGTTGATATCATCCATTTACTACCTCAACTTACAACTAGCATTGATGTAAACATAAAATTTACAAGTGTTTTCCTTTTAGTTCATCTCTCTATATTCGTCTTGTCATAACCAGTGAAATTTTTGTGGTTAATTTGGTATTACTCTTTTATATGACATTGTTATGGTTGATTTGATTATACTCCTAGCGGAAAAAAAAATATGTTGTCCTTACCAAAAATTTATGGTCCCGCCTATGCATACCATCAAAACATATCAACATATCTTGTCCCAATTTCGAACCCAATTATTTCACTTGCCCCTACAATACCTAGATACATATATAAACCCCTTCAAACCCTAATATGGACTTATGAAAGGAAAAAAATTATAGAAATCGATAAGGAATGAAGGAGAAAACAAAAGCAGCTACATGAATAAAAAAATAAAAAATAAAAGGTTCATCTTATTTTTTTCGTTGTTATTCCAGCATAAAAGTTATGTAAGCTTCTAGGCTATGTTTGTCACATTATAGTTATCTTATTTTTGGAGTTCTTTCATATTTGTTAACCAAAAAATAGTTTATGGCCTACTTTTCTAAAAAGCTACTTAGAGCATTTCAATAAGTTTATAGAAAAATAAAATATCCTAAATTTACCATTAATTATGACTATGAGATATGATAGATGGATGTCAAAATAGTTTTCCATAATGGACACTAACATCCCCTTTGGCACATATCACGATATTGTCCATTTTGAGCTCCCAACACGAAAACTTCTTACAAGTCACTGTAACGTCTTATTTTCACAACAAAAAAAAATTGCATTTTTAATTAGGCTAAAACATCATTTTCATGAAAATAATATATTAATTAAAAAAACTATTATTTAATTAATAATTGATCAGAAGTTAATTAGAACTCATTTTGGGATAAATGGAATTAATTAAAAGCGTAGGGTCTAAAGTGTAATTGTTCAATAGTTGAATAAAATACTCCAAAACCTTCCAACCCTAGGGATGGATGGTTTTGAAGGGATATTTTAGGGTTTCTCTGTGTGGATAAATAAGAAATAAGATAAATATCATATTTAAAATATTAATTTAATATTCAAATCAAGTTATCTAGAGTTTCATGTGCCACTAAATAAAGACCCTTAGGCCTCTCTCTTATTTTCATCTCCTTAAGAGATAGCCAAAAATAATACTCTCCCCTCTCCCCTCAGTTAAACCTCCTTCTTATTAGCTTGGGTGTGAACTATTAGAGGCACGACTATTGTGGTGTTTGCTTCCAAGAGATCTACATCAAAGGAATGCTTGTTATTTACTAAAATAACAATAATGTATGTAATCCTAAACCCTTTCTTATGTTTTTCAAAAATAGAATAGGTTTCTAGGGTTTCTTGTTTGGTGTTCATAGTTATAAGTTCAATAGTGAAAACATAGATCCTTTATGTTGCATGTGAACTTAACGGTTTTAAGTTTATTTGTTTACCTAATTTCTATCACCAAAACCCTACGACTCCATTTTTTATACTTATTGTCGCATTTTTACTCATTTGAGTGATTAATATAAGTAAGATCAGCACCCTATGGATCCTTTGCGTTACTGTCAAACCAACCAGTTAAAGGTGTTTTTCCAAAACATGGTTTTGAAAGCACCTAATCTATCTTACTATTTTCATGAAAAACAACATGTTGCATACGTTCTAGATGGACATGCAATGTTTGTACAGGCGGGTGGCGGTGACGAATATAAAAATTTAGAATACGCCATGCTACTTCATGAGGGAAAATGTAATAGCCATCAACAAAGTTTTATATTTCATTACTGGTTGTCTTTCTGTATTTATACCACCAACATCAATGGACTCGCTTTTTCGGATTGCAAATCTAACACGATCAATGCCTTTTCAAATGTATTTGAACAAATACGTAATCATCATGTTCCAACCATAGTACTTAACATTAATATGAGAACCAAAACGATAACGCAATCGTTTGTTGTAGGGTACAACATACTCATTATCAATAATAGTATCACTTTGCATCATATGACTTGTAAACACATTCATTTTGTAGTGAGCATAACTATCTTTATCAAAAACACTGGTTTCTTGAAATGGTTTTGGAAAAGTTACTACAGTTCCTATCTTTCATACATGGAGCATCTTTGTTTAGCAATCCGCTTGGGCCATGTAGCATACATGTGGCTACTGTTTGATACAATGTTGCTTCCAAAATTGAATCTAGAAACTCTGTTGTTATGTATCTGTCACTATCAATAGTTGTTTTAACTTTTTTCGAAGGTGTCACCCATAATAACGTATGACAATGCGGAAGGTCTCTTTCTTTCTGAAACTCTATAGTATAGAGATCTGCAACACTAACACAAAATTGAGAGACACCAAAATGAATATCTAACCATAGACAAACAGAAATATAAACGGAGCAGAAGGTGTATGTACATGCATCAACTTCACCAAACATTTTATCCTCTTTTAGAAACTTGATAAAAGCATCAACCTTTATTTCAAACACTCTAGCTATGATATCAACCTTGCTGTTAGTATCATACCGACCATGAATGTCCATATAACGACTTATCTTAGGCCACTTTACATTACATGTAAATGTAATGAAATAGTCTAAATTACCATACACTCTACTAATCGAATGGGCATATTGGTAATAGCTATACATAATTACATATATCAAGGACCACCTATAAATGATGTCGGTAGGACGACACGTTTTCCAACCACATGACTATCTCCATACCCCTTTGAAAGAGCATCATAAAGACCACTAATATAGTCTGAATGTAACTAATATAGTCTGAATGTAATTGGGCCTAATGATATAAAATATAGCTTAAGCGAACCTCTTTAACACAAGTATACGCGTCAATGAGATATTGTTGGAAAAGCTGACGGGATTCTAATAATAGAGAATAAATCTGTTGACGGTCATGCATATAATAATTATAGTACATATTAACCGTAAGTGTTTTTGCAGTGCAACCCGTTTCATTACCCAAATTTAAATGCGGAGACCATCCATGCATCCTCACTGAATGGAAAAAGCAACGGTTGTTGTACAGACATATAAGGAGGATGAAGCTTACTAATTCGCTGACTCTTACCTGATTTAGAATAAACAATAATATCATAAGTGATATAGTTACTGTCATCCCGGGTAACTATACATCCCAAAGAACTAGGAGTGGGCAGAACGTATCTACGATCAGGTACATTACTATATAAACGAACAGAATATGAATCGGCATTCATGGTGGCCGCTATTTCTTTGGTTGTTTTAAAAGTGTGAATATATTCATTATGGGTCATTAAGGATTGAATATGAAGCTGAACTATACTAGAATCTAGGTCCTTCTTCTTATGGGACTCAAATACATTCATTCTATTATGCACTTCATTGTCAGTTTCAAAGATATATAACTATAAGAACCTAGGTGAACATCCTGTGGACACATAGAACTTATCCAATGATAACCTGACCTGAAATTTTAAAAACATACGGACCTCGCCCATTGTTGATTTCGTCATCAACATTTGTTCCAAAAGAGGTCATTGAAAACATACTATTATATGCTCCAATGTCATTCAAAAAATGTATGTTCATATAAAGATCATAAATCTTTGTAGGCGGTGTATGAGGATAACGAAGGACAATAGACCCAGACTTACAACAACGATTATACCTAGGATGGTCAAGACGTGACAAATTCACAATCCTTTCAACGTACCAAAAGAACGCTCCATAGAACTCGCAAACGCAATCACAATCCCCACAATTGTAATACCCGAGCAACACAAAAGCATCACCACCACTAACCACACGTTTACGACGGGAATTTCTGTTAACAGCAGCATCAGACTTAGAAGGAGACAAAGAAAAATCAAGATCTTTCCGCTTAGGTCGCTTACCCATCACATAAGATTCAGTAAACAACGAATATGGAAAAAAAAAAATACATAATCCAATAGCACCATTCAAACCGTAAACAAAGAGTATTAGAAGCGGGAAAAAATGGCAAAGATTCACCTGTTTCCAGTAAATTAAGAACGTAGAGAAGAAAGAAAGAAGAAACAGAGCAAAGAGACGAAGTAAAAATGAGTGGGTCCGAAAGAAAACATAAACAAAAACGTGTACCTAACGGCACAAGAACCAAAGGTAGTAGGCGTTAACAAAAACCCAACGAGGAAACAAAGTACCCAAAAAAAAACTCTAAAAATAGTGTGGATGAAGTTAATAAAAGGAAATAAAATGTAATGAAAAGAAAGAAACGATCCTCAATATTGAAAGAAAGAAAAACATTACTATTGTGTTGTTAAGATACCTCATAATTAACATTATATATAATTAAAAAAAGGTTTTCTTTTTTTATTAAAAAATATAAAATACTAACTTAATATTCAATAAGCCAAATATATTTAAAATAAATTGAATAATATATCCTTATTATTTATGTCTTATATATCTATTTCAAACATTAAAATTCTTATTGTTTAAATAGCAAACCACATCAACCCATCTTTATTAGAAATAACTATAAACTATAACAATTTTATTATTTTGAAGATTCTATAAAATATAAACACTTTATTTCAATAAAAAAATTAATTATATGAGTTTATATATATATATATATATATATATATATATATATATATATATATATATATATATATATGTGGTTGACTTCATGTGAGACGGTTTAATTTTGTGAGATCATAAGACCATTTTTTTAGTGAAATATTTTAATAAGTGTTTATAAAAGTTAAATATGTGTAATATTCTAATATTCTAAATCAATAATTTTAACATATTATACATTGAAATATTCTAAAACATATAATTTAGAATATATTGTATATTTAAATATTTCACTAAAAAAATTTGGTCTCATGGTCTCACAAAATTATGTTGGTCTCAAATGCTCTCTCTCTCTCTCTCTCTCTCTCTCTCTTTCTGTGTGTGTGTGTGTGTGTATGTGTATATATATATAGAGAGAGAGAGAACAAAATTCATGATATTGGTATGTTTTTATTTTATTATATGTTTTTTTAAATTGCTTATTTTTTTAGTGGAATGGCAAGAGTTTTATTATCCATCAACTTAATAGAATGGTCCAACGAGCAAATACATGGAGAGAGTTGTAAGGCTGGAGGGAGTGGTGCCACCGAAACCACACTCCCTTCACGATCACATATGCGTCACATCACTTTTTACCACACTAGTGTGATTTCATGCCACACCAAGGGAGTGAGATTATCGTAAAGAGAGAGAAAAGAAAAAAAATAGAAGAAGGTGATTAATTGAAAGAGAAGAGAGAGAACAAATAAAAGAGGAGAGAATATCACAACTAGCAATTTTAGCTAGGAAAATCTTTGCTCTTGTAAATATTGTCTATGATAAACAAGTGTAACCTTAACTTGATAATATGAATGATGCTCATTCAATGACAACAAATACAGATCGGAATCACCCAGTGAAGATCAAAATTCTATACAAAACATTTCAAATAGTCAATTGAAAGTTGGAAACTCTACGAATCCCGGTTTAAGTTAATTGTGAACTATGAATTCCTTATTGGGCCTAATGGACCAATAAGTTTCCAATTTGACAATCTTGGGCTTAGAACCCTTAAATGAGCTCTAATTGGACCCACATTCATGAAACTTAACGTTTTGGGTCATAATGGGCCTAAAATGGATTAGTTTACCCTTAATGGGCCTTACTGGGCCATAACAACTACAATCTCCCTAAAGAGCCATAAAACTACCTAATGGATTTTCATTGGGATGTGAACACACCTAAAGGCCCAATGGGCTGAAAGCCTCTTTCTATGGGCCTCATAAAACTCGAACCAAATCGAGAAAAGGCCAAAGCCCCTCCATTATTTCTAAATCTCGGCCCAATACATATATATATATATATATATATGTGTGTGTGTGTATGTGTGTATAAACAATAAGAGGGTGATTAGTGAGGTGACACCTCATTAATAACCTTTAGTTATTCATATTATTGTTTAACATACATTTATACACATAATAGTGGACCTCTATGTAAAAACCAATCCACCTCCCTTCTATCCTTCTTAAATCTTGGCTATGAGGCCAAATACCACCACCACACTCATTTTACATACAAAAATCTCTTAAGAAAACTCTCAAGAACTCCTACATCTTCCTATAATTTTCGAGACTTTGTGTGTATCTTCAAGAGATTTTCATCTAGATCATCATATCTGGTAAGTTGTCATCATCCTTAAGTCTTTGATTTTCATCCTTCAGCTAAAAACACTCCTCTTACACCTATATTTTTTGGATCATGTCTCTTAGAACCATCCAAGTTCGAAAACCTCTTCAAGAGGCTTGCTAAAGTCGAAACCTTCTTCAATCTCTTCATCAAACCGAATCCAAACCCCAAGGTGAGTTCATACCCCCTTGTTTTCGGTTTTCTACTTGTTTTTGGGGGAGAATACAAGTAAAATGTGTAGATCTATGTGGCTTATGCATGTTATGTGTAATTTCTTGAATTATGTTGTGAAAATGTGTTAGAACTTGACAAATCTCGAAATCCTTGACAAAAATAAGTAGAATTCATAAACTAAAACATTTTTATACATCATACTACAAAGACAATAGTATATTTCATGTCTAAAATGTGTAAAACAAAACAAAAGCTTTACATAAGAATCTTTGACAAATAAATTAAAGTTTGGGGTTAAAATTGATGTTTTCGGTTTTGTAAGGATCAAAGATGTTATATTTGGATAAAACTGAAAAATTTTTGATAATCCCTCTTTTTAAAGGACCAAAAATGTAAATTTTAGCATTTTGGGCTTAGAAGTTTAGGCCTTACGGTTTTGGGTCCAATTTGCGAAAAAAAAAAAAACAAGACTTTGTTAAGCATGTCAAACCCAACAAATAAAGGGGTAAAATAACTCCTTAAACACTACTACTTCGTAGTAGAAATGTAATACAAGGTAAGTAGGGTCGATCCACAGAGACACGGAACAAACGTTTATACCTTTTTGCGGAAGGTACAATAATGGTCACATAAATGGGGGGTTGGTATGCAATGATTTAAACAAGAGGATAAAGCAATAAGTAAATGATCAATTAAATGAAACAAATTCAGGATTTGTGAGAACTCCAACTCTATGCAAGACAATTTAACAATGTGATTCCAAGGATGAAATGATATCTACTCAATTCCACCTAAGTTGGTACTTGAAAGTGTTAACACGTTCTAACACTTCCTATTCACCAAGTTGTCAAATTCAAAACAAGCTCTTTGAAAATAACCTAACCTTCTAATTTATGTCTAAACAAGCTCTTAGATAGAAATCAAAAGGTTGCAATAAGATTTATGTGAATGTTCCCAACAACACCCAATACTCCTTACAAGCTTAGGAGTGTAAGAGTATGTGAATAAGATTTACACTAAATTCATTCAATGGAAATCAATTTAGTATTTGTTACTTAGTTCAATTCACAAAACAATTACAAATTTTGTAATTTGATAACTTGAATGACCTAACCCTAATTCAAATGGCCAATAGGAATTACAATTAGAATCAAACATTAAATTGAAACAAAATCAAATTCACTAGGTAGGAATTAGAAGCAAACATCAAATCACATGATTGAAATCACAACTAAAAAGTCAAGACATGAAGTTGGAGAAACTAGGGTTCTAGCCACTCATGACTAGAACAAGATCACAAATCTAGAAAATGAAATTAAAGTTCTTACAAAATGAAATCAAATGTTCCCAAGTGTTAATCAACTTCAAAATCCTCAATAAATTCGCCTTCTCCACTCCAAAAGTCGACCCCCTTTGTAAAAAGTCGGTTCCCCCCTTTAAGCATGGTGAAAAACTGCTTTAAAACTCATGTTTACGTTTACACGGCCCGCATAAATTAACATTGTCATTTACACGGCCCGCGTAAACGTAAAAGTATACTGCGCAGAAATCTACGTTTACACGGCCCGCGTAAACGCAAGGCTTGCATTTACACGGCCGTGTAAATCTCTGTAAAGCCAAAATGTTCTTTTCTTTGATATCTCGCTCCTCGGTGCTCCGCAAGTCCCGAAATTTTGTCCTCAACTTTTATTTACCTCCTCCAACAAGATCCTACCTCCAAAAGTCCCTAAAATATCACAAAAGTATTTGAATGAAATTGCCTCATGAAAAATCCCAAAAAAACATGCAAAATGCATGAGTTTAAACCTAAATGCAATGCACTTTTATGGATTAAAACTACAAAATGGGTGAATGAAATGCACCTAATAGACTTTTAGGATAAAAATGTTATTTGATCAAAAGTTTGAGCCAAAAATGTAAATAAACCAAAATCGGGTTTAAAAATGACATTATTTCTAAATTGGGTTAAAAATACAAAGTTTTTGGAATTTGGGCCGAAAATGTAAAATTCACGAAAATTGGGCCAAAAATGTAAACTTTTGGCAAATAAGGGCTGAAAATGTATTTTCATGTGAAAAAGGGGCTGAAATGGTCAAATAAATATTTTGAGTCGAATGTGTCAATTATTAAACCATTAGGCCAAGGATATAAATTTTTATAAGGATTTAAAAATGTTATATTTTTATAAACTAATAATATCGTTATAGATCAAACGTTGGGTATCTTAACATCATAAGTAAATACTTCATACAAAAACACTATACCACATCAAATATATAAAAATAGAACAATGGTATGAATATTGGGTCTAGTACTTATGATACATACTTATTGGGCCCAATATATTCAATTCATGTCTTCTAGGCCTTAGTGACCCAATGACATGCTTAATGGGTCTAAATTAATTTTTACATGTTATTGGGCCTTAGTGGCTCATTCGCATGTTAATTTTGCCCGAAGAGATTCATTGTATGCTTAATGGGCTTCAATGT